GGATTCTTTACCATCTGAGCCACTAGGGAAGCCCCCTTTGTAGTATTTATGTCTTTTTAGAAAACAATTTAACTTGCACAACTGTGTTAACCTTCTTTTTTTTACTAGAGTCCCATCTTTATTAATTTTTGGCTGTGCTGCATCTCTGTTGCTGAATGCGGGCTTTCTCTAGTTGCAGCGCATGGGCTTCTCGTTGCAGTGGCGTCTCTTGTCGTGGAGCCCGGGCTCAGCAGGGATTGGGCATGGGCTTAGATGCCCCAGGCAGGTGGAATCTCCCCCAACCAAGGGTTGAACCTGTGTCCCCTGCATTGGCAGACAGTTTCTTAACCACTGGGCCTCCAGGGAAGTCCCATGCTCCCATCTTTTTAAAGTTGTATCACTGATGAAGTATTTTGAGTATCCTGCCCTAACCTCATTTTCCCCATAAGTATTTTTATTTTGCAATTTTAAATGTATTTTTTATTATGCATATGCATTTTTATTATTCAATTTTGTATGACAGCCTGAATTTTAAGAATGCTTCTGATACATCATAGCTAAACTGACCGTATTTGTTGAGTAGTTGAATAAATGCTTGCCTAAACCTCAATTTATCCTGCTTTTTTTTTTTTCAGCATACTAATGAAATAAATTTGCTAATTGCTTGTTGAGGTGAGGCTGTTTGCATGCAAAAGACTGTATAGAATCAGATAGGATAAGGCAGTGGTTAATGCAGAGGTGTGAAAGAACCCAGTAAGTGACACCTCATTACTCTTGCCCAAGACCCAAATGCTCAAGAGATAGGACAAAGGAGACTCAAGAACACGTATATAAAATTGTACCTTATTACAAATGATGTCTGGGTCGGAACAGATGGCAGACTAAGCTAAATCACCTTCCTAACACTAAACTGGGGCTTCCCAGGTAGCTCAGTGGTAAAGAATCCACCTGCAATGCAGGAAACGCAAGTTCGATCCCTGGGTCAGGAAGATTCCCTGAAGAAGAAAGTGCAACCCACTCCAGTATTCTTGCCTGGGAAATCCCATGGACAGAGCCTGGCAGGCTACAGTCCATGGGGTCGCCCAGAGTTGGACACAACTTAGCAACTAAACAACAACCCTAAATTTGAGTGCCACATTTGAACTCACCCGCCCAAGGTTGGGCAGCCCTGCAAACTTACTGGCCACCCCAGTGGAAGAGCCCCCTTGAAATTCATGGCAGGAAATCGCAGATAGCAAAGTTCGTGCCGTATTCCAGGTGCCCGCTCCCCAAACTCCTCGCCTGATCTTATTATCTAGGCGTTGTTGCTCCTGGGGGCCTTTTAACGTCTCTGAGCCTTTGGTTCTAGGCCAGAGAGAATCACTGTGACCCCCAAGTCTGGACCCAACTGGAGGAGCTGTGGTCTCAGTACCTCTAGGCACAGGGAAGGACAGCATCCCCAGGAATGAAGCAGCTGCCGTTGGCCTCTGTGGAGAACAACTGCACACCCCTCCTGGGAACAGGAAACAAAGGAGCCCTCTGACGCCCACTGGAACCATCGCAGCCGTGCTGGGCCGTCTCTGCTAGCGGGTCTGCTAGTGAAGACAAACGTGGATGCAGACGCTGCAAAGCAGAAGTGGTTACTCCCTTTTCAGCAATTAAGTAGTTTAGGTGACTAGAAAAAAAATCTGCTGAGACTAAAGATTCTGAATGAGCTATTACAAAATCCTTCCTTGCACAGCTGCAGTGGTGGGGAAGAGAAAATGACCCAAACAAAGAAGCTGCTGAAACTGGGGGTGGGGGAAGCCGAATTTTCAATCTTGGTAACCAAGAGCTTCGGGTGTCATGGAGAAGAGAGTACAAGACTGTGAGCTTTTCGAAAGTTCCCACTTAGAACCGAGACTCCCACAGAAAGTCTGCGTCCTAGAAGGTCCAGATCCTCAGTGAATGAGTGAATTCAAATATTTTCAAACTATCAGCAAAAGGAGACGAGACAGAAAATTTCCTATCCTGGGCCCTTCCTAGGACAAAAAATAAAAGAGCTTCCCTAAAATTTGTAATGAGAGCTCAGGCCTAGGGGCAGGAGGCGGGGGGGGGGGGGTATGGATGGGATTTAAACTGAGCATCCCTTTGAGGTCCTGGAAACAGCCAGCTGAGAAACAAAGAAGGAGCCCAGGTTGGCAGTTCCTTCCAGAGCCCATAAGCAATAAAAGCCTGCCTGTCTGGAGGGACGCACCTTCAGTGGGGATCTCTCCTGATCTTCTCAGATAAAGCTTATGGTCCAAAGTTCCAGAACAGATGAGGGAACAAGTCACCACAGGCAAGAGCCAGCACAAAGGGTCTAATGTTCAGGCAGTAGGATTACCAGGTCAAAGGCATATGATACATATGTTTTAAAAACAAAAACTGATCAGAGATACAAGAAAAGTTGTGATACTTTTTTGTGAGGCAGGAGATTGATCCCTCCCACCACCAGGATAAAGCAAAGGAGAGTCACTCCCTGTGGACGAAAACTCCAAGATGAGAACAGCAGGACAGTTAAGAGAGGAGGCTGGGCCCTGCACAGACCACGTGTTTCTCTTTCTCTGTCAGGAGACCTCCCCAACTAGACATGTGCCGAAAGGCTCTGTGGAGGTCAAAGGGGCGTGATGCGAAGTGATGCCGACTACCCACAGGCCTCTTCCGCGAAATCCATCTTGGCTGAGAGCTGTGCGTGCTCACATGGGAGGATCCTGAGGCATACCAAATGTGGCCTCTGAACTAGGCAAATTCAGTGATTGGCCAGGGCTTCCCTGGGGGCTCAGTGTTAAAGAATCCGCCTGCCAGTGCAGGAGACCTGGGTTCGATCCCTGATCCGGGAAGATCTCTCATGCCGCGGAGCAACTAAGCCCGTGTGTGTGTGTGTGTGTGTGTGTGTGTGTGTAAGTCGTGCCCAACTCTGCAACCCTTTGGTCATGTTCACCTCTGCAGCCCACCAATCGCCTCCATCCATGGGATTCTCCAGGCAAGAATACTGGAGTGGCTTTGCAGTGCCTTTCTCCAGGGGCTCTTCCCAACCCAGGGATCGAACCCACGTCTCTTACCTCTCCTGCATTGGCAGGCAGGTTCTTTAGCACTTGTGCCCCTTGGGAAGCCCTAACGAAGCCTGTGGGCCAACAACCACGGAGCATGTGCTCTAGAGCCCGTGCTCCGATACTGGAGAAGCCACGGCAATGAGAAGCTAGAGAGTGGCCCCCGCTCACTGCAGCTAGAGAAAGCCCACACAGCAACGGAGACCCAGTGTAGCCAAAACTAAAGAAAGAAATAATTTTTAAAAATGATTGGCCTAAGGAAAACGGGAAGAAATGCCCCATAAAAGTGATTCAATTTGCCACATGGGCTTGACTCAAGGGCTCTCTTGAGTCTGTCCGTGTGTCTATCCACACATACTCTACTCTTTTTCCTCCTAATAAATATTTGTTTCACCGCTTTCCATCTTTGTGCAAGTTTTTTTTTCTGCCAAGTCAAAGAGTCAGGCTCTTGTCACTGACCACTGGTCTAGGGGCTAGGGTTCGGTGCCTTCACCGCCTAGACCTGACCTGTCTCTGGCCCCGAACCGAAGCCCCACTTCAAGCCACTGCAGGCTGAGACCATTCGAGAGCAGCACTAAATAAAAATACCGGCGTTCACAGAATACAGTTACCAAGATCAGAGGCATCAAGAACTGACCCCGCTATCTCAGCCTGTGTTCATGGCGCGCCAGCTCCCACTCAGAAGGCTGCAGGCCACTCCTGACCTTCCCTTCCTGACGACCCTGACAGGGGCCCTGGCTGGAATAAGGAGCACCGTCTCTTCCTGGTGCTCTGTCCTTCCCTCCAAGGTCACTGCCCGGCAGTCTGACCTCTCTTGACAGGTTAGGAAATCATCATCGCAGCCACTGAACATTATATATGTATTCAGAACATGTCAACTAGAGCCAAGACACCCAGCTTCTAATCAAGTTTGCTCCTAAATAAACATGCGTAAGAGAAAACAGACAGAAGTGCTACTTGGGTTTGCAGTGATTCGCTTAATGGAAGCTTTATCTACTCTAAAGCAAATTGTGAACTGCCTTTCCTTTGTCTCCCAAGGAGCACTGGACCTGGGCCAGACTGCCAGGGGAGCCCTTCTCTGAAAGGAGAGTGTGCCTGGCGAAAGGACAGGAGGGCAGGGGGCTCCAGTGTCCCCAGCGCTTTCTTGCGCAGGCAGGTTTCAGGAAAGAGATCATATGGAAGCTCAGAAACTGGCAGGGGGTTCCTTTAGAGCTGCAGGTCCCTGCCAGTCCTTGGAAAGTTCTGGTACTCCTCAGAGTGAAGACTGCTGGAGAAGACGTGTGCTAGCGTGGGGCGGGGGAGGAGAGACATTCTTGGGTCGAAATCCCGGTTCCCAGTGGAAGAGACGGAACTGATTCCAAAGGCTTCCTCCATCCAACCCATCCGTTAACTAACAATAATCGGGCACCTCTCGCGGTGCAGTTTCAGAGCCAGAGGCCAGGACGCCCACGGCCGCCTTTTGCTCATCCGGGCTGTTCTGGGACATCCAGGCTGGAGAGGGGACTCGCCAAGGATCGCCAGCCCGCCTCCAGCTCCTCCAGCCACCCCTCGTGGAGTCCGCCCGGGGTGGGGGAGAGGGGTCTCCCTGGGACCCTCTCCCGCCATTCCCTACCTCCTTTCTCCCCGCTGCGTCGGCGTCACCCTTCTCGACAGCCTTCCACACCCCACCCCACCCCCGCCGCCAACCTCCCCGCCTGGTGGTCCACGGCGCGCGGTCTGAGTCCCTGGAGGACGGACTTGGCATTTCGAGGGGTGGGGGGTGGAGCGCGCTGTCGCGGGCGGAGCTGGGCCCGCGTTGGGGGCGGGGCGGGCTCCCAGGGCCTCTGAGACCCCCCTTGGCCCCCCAACCCCGGCCCCTTCTCTTCCTGCCCGACCAGAACCGCGCTTCCTCCTCGCCCCCGGAAGGGAGGCGCCCCGCCACGTCCCCGCGAGCCCCTCCCCGCGTGGCCCGCGCGTCCCCCCGCGGCTCTGATGGGCTGGTCGGGGGGTCGGCACCGGTGCGGAGCACTCGCGCGCGTGGCCCCGCAGGACGCGTGGGCGCCAGTCGCTGGGGTATCGTCCTCTGGGGGGAGTCCAGCCCTGGACGAGGGGCCGCTGGAGGTGGCGGGCAAGCCTGTCCCTGCGCGCCGTCCCTGCGCCCGCCCACCGCCTCGGCTGCCCCTTCCAGGCCCCCGATGCTGATAGGCCCCCGATACCAGCAGGGCTCCTAGGAGCCCCAGTGCCCACTCTCCCCAGCGGGAGGTGGGCACGAGGTGATCAGGGAGGAGGACCGGGACGCGGAGAGGGGGAAGTGGACAAGCCGCTTTTTTCTTCAACAGGACGGACGGGTCTCCCGGTGTCTGCCCACGGCCTCCCACAGCCACACACAGCCTTCCGAGGCAAAAGGAAGCGGCAGGGACTCCCTTCACACCTTGTGCGGAGGACGGGCCACCACACAGGCCGGATGGCCCGGCCCTCCCCGGCCTCTGAGCGGGACTCGCCAGGCTAGACCAGCTGTCTGGACGGGTGTGTGTCTGTGCGCGCGCACGTGTGCTCAGTCCGATGTGTGTGTCTGTGTGCGTGTGTGTCCAGCTGTCTGTGTGTGTGTGTGTATACGCGCGCTCAGTCCGACTGTTTGCGACCCCACGGACTGCAGCTCGCCAGGCTCCTCTGTCCAAGAATTCTGGAGTGGGTTGCCATTTCCTTCTCCACGGGGTCTTCCCCACCTAGGGATGGAGTCCACCTCTCTTGCGTCTCCTGCGTTGCCCGGCGGGTTTTTTACCACTTGCCTCACGGGGGAAGCCCGGAGAACTCCCGGGACTCTCCGGGATGGGCCAGGCGCCCTCTGCTGGCCAGTGAGGCCAAGGTTGGAGAAAAGGTGGGTGATAGGAGACTGGGTTCCTGTCTATTGGGCCCCCAAAGTGACCCTCCCCACCCAGCTGAGGGTCTTTCTGGGGGAAGGACACAGACTGACCCCGAGCGTGGTCCCAGGGAGGGACAGGGTCGTGGTCTATAGGCAAAGCCTGCTGGGAAGGGGGCGCTAGGGTTACAGGCTGATGGGGGAAGCAGGGGTGGTGGTCTGGCACATTCCACCAGTCTCAGGGCTCCCAGAGATCTTCCGTGTCAGTGGAGCTGGGGCCTCAGGCCCAGGACAGTTCCATGGGGGGATGATATGAAGGCCAGGCTTGTCCTTCCAGCCCAAGCTGGAGCAGGGCCAGGGCTGGCCCAGAGCTGCCGGGCCCACACTCACAACCCTTCCCAGGGAACCTCTGTGAGCATCTTGACATACTGCTCTCCCCTCAAACTCCAATACATCCCAAGCAATAAAACCATATAGACAACATTCTGTGACACCACACAGTAAAACCAAAAGATAAAAACAATTCAGAAAACAAAAAGAACCTCTCACCTGGAAGTTCAAATTTAAAAGCTCTTGGAGGACTTCCCTGGTTGTCATGGTTAAGGGTCCACCTGTTAATACAGGAGACACAGGTTTGACCCCTGGCCCGGGAAGATCCCTCATGCTGCGGGGCAGCTAAGCCCGTGTGCCCCAGCTACTGAAGCCTGAGCTCTCTGGAGCCTGTGCTCCTAAACAAGAGAAGCCACCGCAATGAGAGGCCCATGCCTTGTAACAAGACAGCACCCCCGAGCCTCAAAACTAGAGACAGTCCACGTACAGCAGGGAAGACCCAGCACAACCAAAAATAAAAACTAAAGTAAAAACACCTGGACACCTCTAGGGTCAAAAAGGAAATGTAGTCCTGAACCGTAAATTTCTTTTAAAATATATTAAAATACTATATATCTGAGCCTATGGGACCAGCTAAAACAGTGTTTAAATTCTTAAGCCAATTCTAGGTCTCAGCCCCAAAACAGCTGTGTGAGAGTTACTCTTTTATTTCCTAGGAGGAGAAGGAAAAGGAGATAAAAAATGACGTGACTGCAGGCAGCTTCTGCTCATGATTCTTTAAAATTAACTGGAAGGGGACTTCCCTGGTGGTCCAGGGGTTAAGACTCCGCGCTTCCACTTCAGGGGGCAGGGCTTCGATCCCTGATCAGGGAACTAAGATCCCACATGCTGCAATGTGCAGCCAAAATAAGAAACAGATTTTTAAAAAAAATTTTAATTAACTGGATCATTATTCCCAATAGCCAAGAGCTCAGTTCAGTAGCTCAGTCGTGTCTGACTCTTTGCGACCCCATGGTCTGCAACACACCAGGCTTCCCTGTCCATCACCAACACCCAGAGCTTGCTCGAACTCATCATGTCCATTGAGTTGGTGATGCCATCCAACTATCTCATCCTCTGTCATCCCTTTCTCCTCCTGCCTTCAATCTTTCCCAGCGTCAGGGTCTTTTCCGATGACTTAGTTCTTTGCATCAGGTGGCCCAAGTATTGGAGTTTCAACTTCAGCATCAGTCCTTCCAATAAATATTCACAGTTGATTTCCTTTAGGATTTGTTGGTTTGATCGCCTTGCAGTCCAAGGGACTCTTAAGAGTCTCCAACACCACAGTTCAAAAGCATCAATTCTTTGGTGCTCAGCTTTGTTTATGGTCCAACTCTCACATCCATACATGACTACTGGAAAAACCATAGCTTTGACTAGATGGACTTTTACTTTGTCAGCAAAGTGATGCCTTTGGTTTTTAATATGCTGTTGAGGATGGTCATAGCTTTTCTTTCAAGGAGCAAGTGTGCATATCTGAGGTTACTGAGTATGTCAAGGCTGTGTATTGTCACCCTGCTTATTTAACTTACATGCAGAGTACATCATGCGAAATGCTGGGCTGGATGAAACAGAAGCTGGAATCAAGATTGCCGGGAGAAATATCAATAACTTCAGATACGCAGATGACACCACCCTTATGGCAGAAAGCGAAGAAGAACTGAAGCGCCTCTTGATGAAAGTGAAAGAGGAGAGTGAAAAAGTTGACTTAAAACTAAACATTCAAGAAAAGAAGACCATGGCATCTGGTCCCATCACTTCATGGCAAATAGATGGGGAAACAATGGAAACAGTGGCAGACTTTATTTTCTTGGGTTCCAAAACCACTGCAGATGGTGACTGCAGTCATGAAATTAAAAGACGCTTCCTCCTTGGAAGAAAAGCTATAACCAACCCAGACAGAGGGTGACAGAGGACAAGACGGTTGGATGGCATCACAGACTCAGTGGACATGAATTTGAGCAAGCTCTGGGAGATGGCGAAGGACAGGGAAGCCTGGCGTGCTGCAGTCCCTGGAGCTGCCAAGTCGGACACGAATGATTGACTAAACAACAACAGCATGGTGTCTGCTGAGAAAAAGCCTGAGCTCTGATGTAGTCAAATTTATCGTTTTTTTTTCAGATCATATTGATTATGCTTTTGGATCTTTCTGTAAGAAGTCCTTCCCTGCCCAGATGTTAGAAAGAGTCTTCTGCACTTTCTTCTAACTTCATATGTTTACCTTTGTTCTCTATAGAGTCCCTCTGTGTATGTGGGGTTAAGTAAGGACCGTTTTTATTTTCTGCTGATGGCGGGGACCCTGGGTATGGGGCGAGGGTCTCCTCTACCCCTCCCCCGCTCCCTGCCCTCCTCTCTGGCCATGACTTTGCCTTTGTCCTCCCATCAGATATCCTCCAGTGTTACACCGATTCAGCCATTTGGCGGTATAGTCCATCCCTTTTTAAAAACTATGGATTTATTTTACGTCCTCGGTCACTCTGTGCAGCTTGCAGGATCTTAGCTCCCTGTCCTGGGACTGGGCTCGTGCCTGGCGGTGGAAGCGCTGTGTCTCAGCCACCGGCCCGCCAGGGAGGTCCCTGCCTCCTCACTCTCCCCTCAGCAAACCTCAGTGCTTCCTCAGCTCCCAGGGATCTCAGCGGCGTTTGGTGGGATGACCTTGGATTTGTAGCTTACATGGGTGATACTGTCATGATTCTGTCAGACCATCCAAGGCAGGTGACACCCCTGTCACCCAGGTCCCCTCAGTGGGGTGAGCTGCCAGGACAGGTGTGTGGGGGTGTCGCTCTCTCTGGGTGAGGACCTGCATCCTCCAGGTGCTCTGGGCTGCAGCTGACCAGCCCAGGGGGCCTGGGGTTGGTTAATTACGGGACCAGTGGAGCCAGGCTCCGGGTCGTTCCTCCACGAATCTCTCACCTTTGCCCTCACAGTGAAAGGATGTTGACCAACCTCCCCGTGGTCCTTCAACTGCATCCAGGGACAGGAAGCACACATGCCTTCTGGGGACCCTGTCAAGTATCTCCCAGACGTCCCCACCTCCCCCTCCGGGACATTCTTCTGTCCTTCCTCTGGCCTGAGTCCATCACCTCCTGGCTGCCCATCTGGGCCCACGGAGGCCCCAAGGAAGGGGGAGGCCGCCCAGCCTGGCCTTTCCTGTCCCGCCCTCCTCTTCTCCCCACAAACCCGGCTCACTGTGAGGTGCGTGCGGCAGTGGGCTGCGGCCGGCTCTGCACATCTTCCCGGCTGGAGGGAGGGAGGAACTGGGGGGCTAGTCCCAGGCCCGTGGACCCAAGTGTTCTTGTCACAATCCGCCCAGGGGACAGGCATGGGGACAGGCAGAAATTCCTCCTGAACGGCCTCTGCGGGCGGAGGAACCCTGGCTCAGATCACAGTGGTCCGTTCAGGGGCTCCGCAAAGACCCAGGGCCCTCCAGGAGCTTGAAGAGTTTGCCAAAGGTTTCAGGACAGTGAAGGCGCCCCAGAGCTCCTTCGTGGTCACCTCGGGTTCTCACACTGCCCCCTCCTGTGGCCAAGCTCTCATCCCTGCTCTTGTTGGGGGCAGACAGGGTGCCCCTCGCCCCCCGGGACCGGGCACTGCAGCTCTGCAAGCCTGGAGCTGGCCAGCCTGCAGAAGGCCCGGGAGTAGGGGCTGCCTCTGGGACCCTTGGTCACCGGGGGACGGGGTGCCCACAAAGGCTGGGCTTTGGCGCCCTCTGGTGGGCACTGGTACCCTCTGCAGGGACCTGTACCATCCGTGGACCGCTCTCAAGGACTGAGGGGCAGGCAGTCCTGGGTTTGTCCCCACACCCACACTGAAGAGCAGGCTGGCCCCGAACAAGCTGCACTCCACTCTGAGCCTCGGTCTTCTCGTCTGTGAAATCGGTAGCAGTCGGGTCTATGTCAGAATGTTGTCAGAGATGAGGCAGTGCAGACAAGATGGGGCAAGCACCCACAAGATGCCCCACAGCGCCCAGTCCCTCCTCCCCTCCCGGGGGACAGAGGCGCTGAGCCCCACGAACAGAGGGTCACGGCGTCTTGCCCAGCCCCTACCCTCTGCCAGCAGCTGCCGGGCCAACAGGCCGCCCGGGGCCACCCCCTGATGGAAGCCCTTCAGCTACTGCTGCCCACAGGCCTGAGTGCGCTGGCCTGGCACAGGGGCTCCTGGGTCGCCTGCCTGCCCCCCGCCACTCCCGGCCGCCCCTGCACCTGCCTCAGCTGTGCACCCGCCCGGCTCCCGCCCACCCTCCCGGTGTGCCCTCACAAACTCCTACCCCCCCCAACCCTGGCGAGGGGGCGGCATCCCGCCCCGCCCCCTGACCCACCGCAGCCCAGCCCACCCACCGCCCTGCTGTGAACACAGCGCCTCCTGCGGGCTCAGCCCTCCTCCCTCGGGGCACAGGTCCAGGGCACTCTGTCCACTCGTGTGTCTTCCCCAGTCAGGCTTCCCGATCAAGATCCTCCAGGTCTTGGCTTTCGCCGGGGCCGAGGGAACCTGGACACAGGTGCTGCACCCTCGGCCCACCCGGGGCAGCCTCAGCAGTGGGGCTGGGCGGCCCAGGGTCGCTTGCAGGCGGTCCCCTCAGCTGCCCCCACGCTGCCCCCACCAAGAGCCAGCCTGTTTCTGGGTGGCCAGTGTCCATCCCGTTGAAGCCATGGGCTTGGGGTGGGGGGGGTCTCGTAAGGGACTTGAATCTAGAATATTAAAAAAAAAAAAAAACTCTTACAGCTCAGTAACAAAAGGCCAAACAACCTAACTTATAAGCAGTATTTTTTGAATAGATATTTCTCAAAGAAGATATACATATGGCCCATAAGCACACGAAAAGATGCTCAACATTGTTATTCATCAGTTCAGTTCAGTTCAGTCACTCAGTTGTGTCCGACTCTTTGAGACCCCATGAACCGCAGCACACTTCCCTGTCCATCACCAACTCCCGGAGTCCACCCAAACCCATGTCCATCGAGTCGATGATGCCATCCAACCATCTCATCCTCTGCCGTCCCCTTCTCCCCCTGCCCTCAATCCTTCCCAGCATCAGGGTCTTTTCCAAGCTATTCATCAGAGAGAATGCAAATCAAAACCACAGTGAGGGGCTTCCCTGGTGACGCAGTGGTAAAGAATCCACCTGCCAACGCAGGGGCCACAGGTTCCAACCCTGGTCTGGGAAGACCCCACGTGCCGCGGAGCGACTAAGCCCAAGGGCCACAGCTCCTGGGCCACGGCCACTGAGCTCACACACTGCAGCTGCTGAGCGCACGCGCCCCGAGCCTGTGCTCAACGAGAGGAGACCCTGCTCTCCGCAGCTGCGGCCAGGGCTGCTCAGCAACAAAGACCCAGGGCAGACGAAAATTAAACTAGGTAAGTGAGTAAGTAAAACCACTGTGGGAGACCCCGTCACACCCGCCAGGGTGCGCATCATCAGAGTCGGACATAAGGAATGGTGATGAGGATATGGAGGCACTGGGCCCCTCGAGCATCGCTGGTGGGAACGCAGAATGGTGCAGCTGCTTCGGAGAAATACTCTAAAGTGTCTCAAAACGTTAAACGCGGAGTCACCGTTTGACCCAGGAATTCCACTCCTAGGTGGAACCCAGGAGGACTAAAAACACATGTCCACACAAAAACTTATACACACGTGTTCACAGCAGCATTATTCACAGCAGCCCCAAGCTGGAAACAACTCAAATGCCCATCAACAAATGTATGACGGAACCAAATATAAAGCAGAGTATCACTCGACTATAAAAATAATGAATGGGGAGCTAACTTCCTGGGCGGGTCAATGGCTATGAATGACTCCACACTCCCAGTGCAGGGGGCCTGGGCTCGATGCCTCGTCAGGGAACGAGGTCCGACGTTTTGCAACTAAGGGGTCGAGTGCCACAACTGAAAAGACGCTGAATGCCACAACGAAGACCCAGCACAGCCAAACAAAGAAGGAGAAAATTTAAAAAATGAGCGGAACATGGATACAAGCCACACCACCGATGAACCTTGAAGCACAATGCTAAGTGAAAGAAGCCAATTACAAAAGGCAACATATTATGTGATTCACTTTATGTGACGTGTCCGGAACAGACACGTTTATGCGGCCAGAAAGAGCAGTGACCGCCCAGGGCTGGGGGCACGCTGGGAAAAGGGGTTTGGGGTCATGCCAACAAGGTTACAGGGTCTCTTTCTAGGGTAGGTGAAAATGTCCTAACATTGACTGTGGTGATGGCTGCACAACTGTGAATATGCTAAAAACCACTGAATGGTACGTG